ATAAATATATATATATATATATATATATATATATAACATTAACTCTGACAAAAGTCTCTTGTCAGCAAAATTTCGGACAAGACTTTTTCTTTTAAATTCAAGTTTCAGACACTACGTGTGACGTGCTTACAAATTTATTATTTCTCTAAGACGCGTAATTTATTTTGACAAGCCCAAACCATTAAAAACAACTCTATTCAATGTTACAACTTTTATGTCTAAATATATAAGCCTACTCTTTTTATTGTAATCTAAAATATATATATGACTTCCATTTCATTTCTGCAAACAGTTTTGTTCCTGCAGTGGAATGAAGACGGGCTTTTTATATCTAAAAGGATTTTCTCGTTTCTCAGAAGAATTGAATTGTATTTCTCCAGAAATAGTATAGAAGTAATGGGATTTTATATAGGCTTTGACATAAAATTCTTAGGCAGAAAAAAGAATAGGATGAAATAAAGTGATTTTTAAAATTAGAGTTTCCAGACACATTTTTTTTTTTTTTTTGCTTTAACTAAAAGTATGATCCATAAATTGGGTAATATTGTTTGTGTGATACAATGTATACTAGTTGGTGTTTCAAAAATAGAGTTAACTTGTTCCAAATATTAAATTTCATTTTTTTATTAAATTGGATTTACATTAATAGGAGAGGTTGAGCTAGTGAAATTATGAAAAATACCGCTGAAGGTTATAAGATATTTTTGCGCATTGTGGTGTTATCTAGAAAAAATGCCGCAAACATGAGAAGTACTTAACTGGAAAACTACTAACTTGAATGCAAAGCTAAAAATTTCTATTCATTTATTGTTTAACACTATCTTAACAGATTTTTTTTATCAATGATCTACATCATATAGGCTTTGACCCTTTGACGCAGAATTTATATAAACTTATTTTTCATGTTTCTTTTTATTACTTTGTATTAATTTAGGTCATAATAAAATAAGTAAAAATATTATATTTAGTATTTAATATTATAATAATTTATGGTTTAGAAATACTGCATGAAGCACAGGTGCCTTTCTCCGCGTTAAAGCTATAATCTTTCAAACACGATTCACTTCCAAACAGTAATTTTTCAAATATGCTGTTATTTTGATATAAGAGAAAAATTAATTCATCATCGAAATTTCTTTCATTTACAAAACAATTATGGATAAATTTTTGAATTTGAATGAGAAGAAAATTACGAACTACTTTTTTTGGAATTGATATAGGAAAGTTATTTTAGCAAAAATTATAATTCTGATATTCTAACAAATTTCTTTTAGTAACTGTTAGACAGTTTTTTTAATAATTAAAAGATACCAGAATACAATTTTAAATGTAATTAGAGCACCAGAAAAAATATATAAAAATGCCATCTGTGCACCAAAGGGTTAGAAGTAAGTTAATACATAGGATGTGTTCCTTAAAAAATAAGTTATATCTATCTATCTATCTATCTATCTATCTGTCTTATCTGTCTTATCTGTCTTATCTTTCTTATCTTTCTAATCTATCTATCTAATCTATCTATCTAATCTATCTATCTAATCTATCTATCTGATCTATCTATCTGATCTATCTATCTGATCTATCTATCTAATCTATCTATCTAATCTATCTATCTAATCTATCTATCTAATCTATCTATCTAATTTA